GACTTTAAGAATGTGTCTCCTCGAGAGTAACATAAACTAAAGCAAGTTAAACCAAAACAACCACTTTTAATGAGTGTTCAGATCATTGAACAGGATGGAATTGAGGGAATCAAGGACAAATGGTGTAGAATACTTTACAAATTGGGATCAGTCAAGAAATCTCCAAGGTAAACTCCTTTCAGTAAAGCAAATATTTTAAAGCATGAAAAGTGGACCAAAACATACATGAAAATTGACTTTTCTAAAGTAAATTTCATGGACAAATATCAGTGAACACAAGATGGACCTGAAGAATAGGCCAGGGGATAGATTTTATCTGATGCACATGTGCATGTGGCTAAAAGAAAGTAGCAAGGAGATGGCAGTGTGATGATATGGGCTGGAATTGTTACCCAACCCCCATTACTGGACCATTCATAGTGTGTATTTATGCACAACAATGCTCCTTCTTGCGTATCTAAGGTTACCTGCTAAATTTCTGAGTATAAAAGGTTTACAGGAGAGAAGATTATGGAATGGCTACTATCACATCCCAATCTGAATCCAATTGAATATCTATGATCAATTGTGAAGATGAAATTATATGAAAGCAGCAAATAATATGACAGCAAAGCAGACGTATAGGAAGCAATTAAAACGACCATGTCAAAAATTGAACCTGCAGAAATAAAAAATTTAACAAAATTCATGGATAATAGATTACTGGCTGTCATTAAGAAGGATCATTATATTAAGATAGAAATGCTTCAGAGACTTAGAATATGTTTGTTACTTATTCTATTATAGGTGTTTACCAATTGTTGATGATTATATTAGCTTGCTATTGAAGTAAAAAGTGATCTTCTGGTTTTGCATAACATCAAACTGCAGTTTTTTAACAAATCCAATAACTTTAATAAAACATTGAAAATACCTTAAAATTTAACTCAAGCTTTGTTTTGACATCTAAATTAATCATTTAAAATCTTACAAAAAATTTTCAAAACAAATTAAACTTATTGACGTTCATGTGATTTTCATGTTTTGCACATTTATAAGTCTAAAATTCATCCATGTATCAGATAGTGCTACTACATCTGGTCTGGTGCTTACACTATATATCTAGAGATTCTTGATAAAATACAAAGAATCTGTATTGTTATTAGTCCTGACCTGGCATCTCAGCTTCAATCATTTTCCCACCTCCAGAATATAGCTTCCCTGTGCTATTTCTACAAATATTCTCTCACACAAATTTTTTTTATCCTTTTTGGTACCTCAACTTCACAAATTTAAGTACAGTACTAGATTGGCAGACAGGTCTCATCATTTTATTGTTGAAATTGCTAGTTATAACCATAAGTTCATACTAATAATTTCTTTTCTTGCACTTCTTACCTCCTCCTCCTCTTACATGCAATAGCCTCAATCAGTAACTCTCTACCTTGAGTGGCTCATGAACCTTGTATTGAGTGGACAATTATTAAAAAAAAAAAAAGTTTTATACACACTTCATTAATGAATTAAGACAAATTTAAAATTTATCTTAAAATGCAAAACTTTTCCCCCACAAACATTTTTTTATGTCCCACATGATTAAGCCATATCACAGGCGCTATAACTCATTCAAGTTATAAGGGTACTACATGTACTGCAACCATAGCAGCTGTGACTGGGGTAATATAATCTGACAGCCTATCTTTTTCAAGCTTGTTTTGAACTCAGATTTTTCCTTCTCCACGATTGGTTGTCACATTAAGGCAATTGATACAAGTCTACCCTACTATTTAACACATAGCCGGAAAACAACCAATTCATGCCTTTTCTAAAAACATTAGCACAAGGTGAATGAAAAAGAATCAAGCAAAAGTTGAACTAATCCCACTTGATAAATGACAATCTTCTATGTACTGTGTCCCTTCAGGACATGAGCTATCATGGCTCTCCACAACGTCCTATCCTTTACAACATGTAGTAAAGTCTGCCTCCTATCCATCCAATCCCCATCATTCTGCCATCATTAAGCTTGTTAGGTAACTTGCATCTTTCCTCTGTCCCTTTTGCCTTCAATATCTCCATCTTTCCACATTATATGTTTGAGAATTTCAACTTTTGCATTCTAAGTGTCCTTTCTGTTTCAATAATCCTTAAAACTTTCTAGATTTTTAAATCACTATTCCTCATTATTCACATGTTCAGTCCATGACATTCTCAGCATCCTTTTGTAGAACAACCTGACAAATCTTGACCATTTTCATTATTCTTTATAACATTCTTGAAGAATGAATCAACCAAAACATTGTGGAATCAAGAACAAAGTTCAAATGGATTTTTAATCATTCTTCTCAAAGGTTTAGACAACACTTTACCAGATTTTTTTTAAAAAGATAAAAAATTTTAATCCAACATAATCAATAATGTTTAATTAGAAATTGATCCCATGTCTTGCTGTTTTCTAGAATCAATGAAAAACTTTGATATTGATCAGAACATTGATATCCCAAAATCTCTGCAGAGATAGATTTAAAAGAAATCAACACTTCATTAATTTTTCTGTTTTTCTAACAGGAAATTAACAAATTTGAAAATGGAAAACCGTTTTAATGTCATCCACATAAAAAAAAAAATTAGTTTTAATTTCTCCTTTAATTAAATAAATCAAAAAGTCTCGTTAATACAAATAATTTATCTGCTTGCTTGCCAAACCACAAACAAATCTGACACCAAATATCAAACATATTGCCAAAGGTCTGTGAACTATAAATAGCACATTTGTTTTATATATATATATATATATATATATATATATAGTGGGGTAACAAATATTCATTCATACATACAAATTTTTAATTTATTGTATTTACAACTAATGAATAAACATACTTTTCATATAATTAAGTGTACACAGATGCATAATAAATAATTAAATATGCATAGAAAACAGAAAAAATTTTGATTTAATAGAAATAAATCCTATTTATCCATTTTAATGGGTGAAAAAACTATTTGTACAATACAAAAAAGAATACATAATCTTCATTTAATATTTTGTAGAATAGCCATTATTCACTTCTACAACAACAAAACTCTTCTTGTAGTTCTCAATGATTTGCAGATTATAGTTGGTATTTTGTTCCATTCTTCTTTGCATATTGATCTTCAGATCCAGGATGTGTGTTAGAGCTCTTGAATGGATTTCAATTTTCCAAATAATGCCACAGATTCTCAACTGGGTTTAAATCTGGGGACTGATTTAGCCATTTCTGGATATTTACATTATTTTCAGCAAGTTGTAGATTTTTCAGTGTTCTTAGGATCATTATATTGTTGGAATATTCAGTCAAAAAAGAAATTCAAGAATTTCAACTAAAATCATTAAATTTGCTTCCAAAATTTTTTGATATGTTGCAGCATTCATTCTACCATCTATTACTGATATGTTGCCAGTACCTTTTGCAGAAAGCCATGATGCTGCCACCACCAAATTTCACTGTTGGAAATGTGTTCTTTTGTTTGAAGGCATCACTAGCTTTCCTCCATTTCTAATGTCCAAACAACTCAATTTTGGTTTCATCTGTCCATAATACCAACACAATTTTTCCTGATCCTTATGTTCATGAATGAATTTCAACCTAGCATCTGTCTTATCAGGGAGCATAACGTTATATTGTTCCTATGAATTTCACTGCTTATTGTCCATTTAGTGACACAGATTCCTGATGAAAGCAAATCATCCTGCAACTCTTGATGAGTAACATTGGATTTTGTTTAATTTGATGCATTAATTTCCTCAAAGATCATGAAAAAATATTCTGTAGAACACCTATTGTTCTTTGGTTTTCAACAGTTTTGAGTCTTTATCCCTTGTAATGAATGAACTAATGATAGTATATAGAATATTCAGCTTCCTGTAACTTTTACCTTCTTTGCAGAGTTTAACAATCAGTTCTTTTTTGCAAATTTGTCAATTCTTTGTCTCTTGCCATGATGATAACCTTCTTGCACCAATATCAATTACAGGATATTGTGTTTGTATTTTTTAGGCTAACAACTTATTGAAAAAATACAATAAAATACTAAACAGACAATAGTTAATTCTTTTGATATTTTTATAGCTCTTATTTAAAATTAAAAAGACAAAGAACAAGGAGAAGAGAGACTAGTAAAAAGAGGAAGGAAATTATCATTTAAAGTTACTTATGTTGAAAAAATAAATTTAAAACAAACAAAAATGCAGTTTTACTAAAGGCACAACTTATAAAAAAATATCAGGTCATAATACTGCAAAATGATTTCTTGTAGCTTAAAAAAAAAAATCCTGCTTGTCTGGTTAGATTCGATATCAGCTTTGTCGTTCTCAGCTCACCTCCAGTTTTGTTTATCTTTTAGAATTCTGTTTTCCTTGTCGCGTCATTAATTTTGATAGAATCCGAAACCTGCTTCTCTTACGAATTTTCTGTCTTCTGCGAAAAAATATCTTTCTTCGTAAATGAAAATAAAATCTTTACCCATTTCTCCCCTGCCAAAAAAAAAGTAATGTCGCTCGGTATGTCTTTCATTATGGCTCTTTCTTGCCTTAAGTATTGCTCATTTTTAATTTCCATGCTTAATTAGTTAGCCAATTACCATAGCTAAATAGTGTCACATTTTTACAAAAACAAAAATTTAAATTTGTTTCTAAGATACAACATAAAATTTTTTTCCTGTCATTTTAGTATTTATAATTCATGGTTTCTAAAAGAGTTTTTTTTTTTTATTGTTCAAGTAGTGATCTATGATTCACAAATGTTTCATTTACTCACATTTTTCACAGACCCTTTCTTCTAAATACAATTGCTTTTCCTTGAAAACATCAACCAATCATTATTTTTCAATTCATCATCATATTGCCTAATTATCCAGACTGACAGAAATCCAATTCATCTAAAAAATATCTTGCCCACCAGACTATGCTAACCAGATTCTAAAATGAAAATGTCTAGGTATTCCTCCCCATCAAGAGACAAGAATATTTTTCTTACCGTGTCTGCTTTTGGGGTCAGAAAGTACTTCTTGGAGCCTTTCTTGTAATTTCTCAGCCCTTTTTCGTTCTGCATGAAGCTGTCTTTTCAAGTCTTTCAACTAAAAAAAGAAAATTAGAATTATCAACAAAAAAAAAAAAAATTATTTACAGATGCATATCATAAAAAGGCTTTAACATGAAATGTTTCATTTCAAATCCACCAGAAGTCTTTATATTTGGAAGAATAAAAAGTGATAAAAAAAAGTATTTATGTTTTCACATCAAAACCTGTAGAATTGTAATCCAAATCAAGTATCTGTACCAAAGAGTTACTTGATACATGGCAACAAGTCATTGCAAATAATGGTGAATATGTAACTGAAAAAAATATTGGCATTAAGGTCCCACCTGTTTATGGTTGAAATAGCTAAATGTAACCGCCATTTCTACAGTTTTTGGGGGTTTTTTTTTCTCTCACTTGCCTCCTTTAAAACTCCATTCTGTTTACTTGCTTCCATGATAACTACAATCTTCAAAAATTGAAATACAATGTCAGTCGCCATTTTCTATCTTCTTGAATCTCGTTCAACTTTTGTCCTTTCCTCAATCCTCCCTATCCTCAGTCTTCTCACTCACTTTCACTCTGTAATCCCCTGCATACTAGTAGCATTCCCACCTTGCTTGGGGTGAAAAGATAAAAAAGGTACAATTTTTTTATTTTTTTAAATCAGCAAAAATGAAAATTATTTATGACTCAACCTAATATTTTCTGAAAAGTTCAACCCAATGAATTTCTCAAAGGTCAATCATTGTCTCATCATTCTTCTAAAAAAGGATCAATATACATATATACAAATGTGTTCTTTTTTAAATCTGTAACCTTTATAAGGTTAGTGTTATTATGCTGATTTGGTGCGAAAAAAAGGTTTATCTCTGCTCAGCCAAAGTTTTATTAGTATTGTGGACAATGTTTCAACATTTGTTTTGTCTTGTATTCAAATTAGATTAGTGATTTTTGTTTTCAATATACATTTTCTCTGACTACATCATTTAACTGTCAGAAGAGACTGAAAGCAATTTACTCAGCCTAGACTCAAACGAGGAAACTCTTATTTACATTATTCGCACAATCAATACCATCAATCCAACTTGGCAACAGCTAAGAGAAAAAAAATGATCCAAAACCCTTGGCTTGTTTGAGCTATGCCTTTTACCTGACCTACCACATCTCACCAATTCAGACCTTTACAGCTAAAACCTGCCATGCCATCTGTACAAGTCTGAATCCTCTTCATTCACTTTAAGAAGCAAGTTCCATTTGGACAACTTCTTCTCAAGAACCACTACATTGTGGAAAAGACTCTGAAGAGGATGCTTCCCCAATCATTATAATCTTAACCTCTTCAAGTTTTGGGTCAACCATTATCTACTTTCAACAAACTAATTCGTTAACTCTCTAGCTTTTGTTGGGCCTTGTATTGGGTAACAACAGTGAAAAAATAATTTTTTGAGTCACTGTTTTTTCATATAATTTTGTAAACAGTTTGTCATCATCAAAAAATATAATAATTTCATACCAATCTGAGTTTTTTTAATATATTCTATAGAGTACATAAATGTACTTAAGTATCACTTCCACTTGTTAACTAAACAAAGTAATAAAAAAATAAAAAGTACTATTGACTGAGATGCATCCCAGGCCTACATCGTTTTGCACTTACATGTTTATAATATGCAAGCAATAAAAAAAGTTAGCATTAATTATATCACTAGCTATAAAGATTATACAGTTATGAGTTGTTATTTAAGGTACACAGTGTGGGGACAGAAATCTCTATTCAATAGTAAGGGTCAACTAGGATAGCTTGATTACCATTACCCATCCCAAGTTGCCTGGAACATAAATTTAAGGGGTATAAAAGATTAGCACATAAAAGTTGATCGCTGACCAACAATAAATAATTCAAATCATGATAAGAATTAAATCTTCAATAATTCATTTTCACTTTTGCTTGGCCTCACGTAAAATGATTTTATGTTTCTGTATCAAAATTCTAGTGTCTAAACTTCTTTATTGGCCTCAAAATCTAATAAAAATATTTAGCTTTTTCTCCTGACTAGAATTTTTTTTAAACCTTCACAGTATTTAGTATTGTTGAAGTTATCACTAACATATTTTGTCAAAATTTATAAACTGTGTTTCATTCAATTCTACAAACCAATCGATGAAATTTGAATAAGCTGATTTGTTTAGAAAAAATACTTTGACAAAAACTTTACAGTTTAATAATTTCTTTAATTTAATTTTATAGGACTTCATGGTAAACAATATTTTTTAAGAAAATTTCTTTTCCTCTCCTTTTTAACAGCAAAGAATAAATTCTTAGAATATTTTATTCTTGAATATGCAACTGACCATGTGTAAATATTTCTTTCTGGAGACAAATTTCAACTTTTTGAAGCATTTGGGATTTGTTCATTGTTCTTGCAAATACTGGGTGAACTGGAAACTGGATTCTTGTATATAAAACTTAAAGATATACAAAAGACAATATTGCATTTTTTATTAAATAAGTGTTTCGTATTTTAATCATTAAATTATTTTTAAAATATTGCAAGTAATTTTTATGTTAAATAATTAAAATTTTAATATTTCCAATAAATTAATGAATATTTATTGTACTAAGTTATGCACCCTAATAAAACCAACTGTACCTTGTTTGCACTTCTCCCCAAAATTTGGTTTCAATCAGCCAATGTATGGCTATTTTAGAGGGTGGGATGGAATTTTATATATATATTTTGTAACTACAGATGTGACCTGATGAACCAGGAAAAATATATTTTCTGGGGAAATAAATTATAGTCATGGAGCCTTAAGGTTGTCACTTAATTATATATATATATATATATATATATATATATATATATATATATATATATAGATAGATAGATAGATAGATACCAAACTTTTGACATCCATTTAGGTGAAACCTAGGTAGGTTTGTCTGGCTCACTAGGTGTATCTAGGTCTGCTCTACGGTTGTATTGAGCTCTTTTGTTAGTTAGTTGTTACTAAATATCGGGGTTTTTTCTTTGGGCTTCAGACCTGCATCTGTGCGATTTTTTGTTGGCAGAAGTTCATGTTTGTAGCTCTTTCTTTTTTTAAAACCTTTTTTCCCTCGAGATTGATTTGCAAATCAAAAATTCGAGGGTTTTAAAAACGAGTCTAGTTATCTATATTTATATATATATATATATATATATATATATATATATACACACACACAAGTATATAATTGGTATATACGGAATGAATTCCAATAACCAACAATTACTATTCTTAAAAGAGTGCTCAATACAAAGTAGAGCAGATATAATTATTATTTATAAAAAAATTATAACATAAGTATATTATAAAATCACTACAAAAATAGCCATTTTGTTTCAACACACTCTGTGTCTTATCAAGTGATGATGTTGAAAATAAAATAAATGGTTTTAAAAGTTTCAGATTAATTAACGATCCTACACTAGGGGGGAAACATTGTTACAAAAGCTAGAATAACCAATCAAAAACCAAGTATAGAAAGATCCAAAAGCTTGACAACGAAATCATGTTATAATAGCTATTCAGAACTTTAAAATACGTGTAATATTAAAAATAATTTATACTAACCAATAATTATAAAATTATATGATAAAATTTAATATTAAAATCAAAAACTGGCAATTTTAAAATCCAAATTTAATCACTATTAAGTTTAAAAACTACAAAATTATTGAGAAAAGAAAAAATATATATGTTTATTCAATTCAATTTTTCATTGAAATTACGTTCGACAAGAAGCTACAATATATCCGGTCATTTGACAATACATATATATATATTTTTTTCTTTTCCTTTTCTTTTCACTGATACTAAATGAAAGGATTAAGTAATAATCTGAGCACAACATAGAGTCAGAAATATTTCTTCATTTTGACTTCAGACTATAAAAATCAGTGTGCCCTGCCCACTCTCTCCCCACATCATCAACAACTTCTGTGGTCCCCTCAGGACATAGGGGATCATTGCTCTCCACAACTTCCTGTCCTTTGCAGCTCTTAATAAACTGTCTGTTATTTCTCCTAAACCCTATTCTGAAATCCATTTACAGAAGCTCACTAAGTCTGTCTCTCTTGCCTTCAGTCTGTCTCTCTTGCCTTCAGTCCGTCTCTCTTTGAAGGCAAGTCTGTCTCTCTTGCCTTCAGTCTGTCTCTCTTGCCTTCAGTCTGTCTCATGAATATCAGATTTTCCAAGCACTCCTTCCTCATTATGTACCCTATAAACATCAACTGACTCTTCCTGATGTTATGTATAAGTTTCCTTTTGGTTTCCATTTTCTCTAGAACTTCATTGCTCACATGTTCAGACCATGGTATACTCAGCATCCTTCTGTAGAACCAGATCTCTATTGATTCAAATCTCATCTTTATTTTTCGGAAGATTATTCAGCACTCACTGCCATACAGGAGGAGAGATATCCCATTATAGTTTAGTGCTCTTTTCCTTGTTTCTAGCAAAGTTTTTCTCTTTCTTAATACTCTGCTTAGCTTTTGGAATGCATCTCTCGCTATACTAATGCACCTTCAGATTACAGTATCACACTTTCCGTCCTCTGTTAAAGCACTTCCCAGATTTTGAAGTATTTCCACCAGCTAAAGTTTTTCTGGATTCTTCCAATCTGAAGAGTAAGCGTTCTCAAAGCAAATTTGTGGCTTTCACAACACAAAGAAAGAAAATCACTTGTAACGCGTCAGGAAAATAACTCACGAACACCGTAGCCAAAACTGCCCGAATTTTCCTTCCCCAGTCGAAAACACCAACTGCTTTTATCGGCAGAACCTATTTTTTTCCATTCGTCGACAGCCGGGATAGGATGCTCTGTAATTTGCATATTAATATACTCTTATAGCGACTCCTGTGACGGACTTGTTTCTTTTTCGTCACAGAATACACGAGACGCGCTGTTGCTTGGGTTGACGAGGTAAGTCGCTATAAGAGTTTTGCTGACTACTTTTTGGCAATCCCTCCCCGGCAGATCGCACACAAAACACAAACTTTTTTTCCGGGGTA